TTCGAATTAGTCTAAAAAAATTATGGTGTGATTCCTCATGTGTCCGTCTGTCTGTAACACGATAACTCAAAAACTGCTAAACCGATTTTAACCAAATTTGGCACAAAAATACTGTGGCACCCGAGAATCTAGCCATTAGTTTTTGGTGAGGGTGGTGGGTTGTTAAGGGGGTATGGGAGGGGGTTAAACATTTTAAAAAATCGTTTTCAATTTAATATTAGTAATAATATTTGCAACAAAATTTATATTTAATAAACTGTAAAATATATATATTCTTATGTTTTATTAAAGTTACTCTGATATACTAATATATATATATATATATATATATATATATATATATATATATATATATATATATATATATAACTTTAAAACTAAATCCTTTGAAATCAAATATAAACATAAAAAAATATTTACAGCAGAAAAGGCGAAGGCGCTGGGTTAAACGTAGTCTCTACTAAGAACACGGAGGGGCGTTTTGACCCAAAATTTTACTATTAAGTTTCATATCTATCTTAATAGAAGATTATTTTCTTTTTATCTATGGATTTATCAGCAGTCATCGTCAAGTTGACAATATACAGGGTGTTTTCGAATTAGTCTAAAAAATTATGGTGTGATTCCTCATGTGTCCGTCTGTCTGTAACACGATAGCTCAAAACTGCTAAACCGATTTTAACCAAATTTGGCACAAAAATACTGTGGCACCTGAGAATCTAGCCATTAGTTTTTGGTGAGGGTGGTGGGTTGTTAAGGGGTATGGGAGGGGGTTAAACATTTTAAAAAATCGTTTTCAATTTAAGATTAGTAATAATATTTGCAACAAAATTTATATTTAATAAACTGTAAAATATATATATTCTTATGTTTTATTAAAGTTACTCTGATATACTAATATATATATATATATATATATATATATATATATATATATATATATATATATATATATATATACATATATACTATAACTTTAAAACTAAATCCTTTGAAATCAAATATAAACATAAAAAATATTTACAGCAGAAAAGGCGAAGGCGCTGGGTTAAACGTAGTCTCTACTAAGAACACGGAGGGGCGTTTTGACCCAAAATTTTACTATTAAGTTTCATATCTATCTTAATAGAAGATTATTTTCTTTTATCTATGGATTTATCAGCAGTCATCGTCAAGTTGACAATATACAGGGTGTTTTCGAATTAGTCTAAAAAAATTATGGTGTGATTCCTCATGTGTCCGTCTGTCTGTAACACGATAACTCAAAAACTGCTAAACCGATTTTAACCAAATTTGGCACAAAAATACTGTGGCACCCGAGAATCTAGCCATTAGTTTTTGGTGAGGGTGGTGGGTTGTTAAGGGGGTATGGGAGGGGGTTAAACATTTTAAAAAATCGTTTTCAATTTAAGATTAGTAATAATATTTGCAACAAAATTTATATTTAATAAACTGTAAAATATATATATTCTTATGTTTTATTAAAGTTACTCTGATATACTAATATATATATATATATATATATATATATATATATATATATATATATATATATATATATATATATATATATATATATATATATATATATATATATATATATATATATATATATATATATATATATATATATATATATATATATATATATATATATATATATATATATATATATATATATATATAACTTTAAAACTAAATCCTTTGAAATCAAATATAAACATAAAAATATTTACAGCAGAAAAGGCGAAGGCGCTGGGTTAAACGTAGTCTCTACTAAGAACACGGAGGGGCGTTTTGACCCAAAATTTTACTATTAAGTTTCATATCTATCTTAATAGAAGATTATTTTCTTTTATCTATGGATTTATCAGCAGTCATCGTCAAGTTGACAATATACAGGGTGTTTTCGAATTAGTCTAAAAAAATTATGGTGTGATTCCTCATGTGTCCGTCTGTCTGTAACACGATAACTCAAAAACTGCTAAACCGATTTTAACCAAATTTGGCACAAAAATACTGTGGCACCCGAGAATCTATCCAGCAGTTTTTGGTGGGGGTGGTGGGTTGGTAAGGGGGTATGGGAGAGGGTTAAAAATTTTAAAAAATCGTAACTCCAAAATTACAGTAGCTAGCGAAACGCGGTTTTCAATTTAAGATTAGTAATAATATTTGCAACAAAATTTGTAATAACATCAAAATCAGTCGCAATTTTTGAGATAAAAAAAATGGAAAAATTCCTTTACTTTGAAACTAAAAGAACTGCCTACCAACTTTTTATTAACATATTTTAGTATGGCCGGCTATACGTGCCTCCCGGCGCCAATTTTTTGATTATGTAACGGGCCCTTTGTTTACTCACTTTAATTACACTCTCCTTTACACGTTAACATTTTTTACTACTCGAAACAACGTTACATCACACAAACCTCGTACTTGAGTGTTTTATATAGTTTCAATAACAGCACTAGAAAAAAACTGAATTACTTAAATATTACGACAAAGCCACGATTTCAATATTATTTTAAAGCGATCAACATGAACTGTAACCGTGCCGGCGTGAAATACATGGCGAAAATTTTTGATTTCTGCCGTATATAGCGCTGCGGTCGGAATTTTTTGAAATCAACTGAAATGTGTGCACCAAGCTTATATTAAAAAATCACCGTCAGCCTAACCTAACTGCAGTATGAATGGATTGTAAATAAGGTTTATATTTTTGTGGCTAGTTCGTTTCTTGAAAAAATTCTCAGAACAGCAACTTCTACAGTTTCTAATAGACCTATCTACTAAAAACCGAAGTGTTCTTGAATAGTGAGTGGTATTTAGATATTTTAAAAATATTTTTTTTATTTTGTAGATTTCTCTTTCAGTGGCGAATAATCCAGAATTTTGTTCAGGCTACAGTATAAATATATTTTCCCTGCCTTCGTGCTTTTGACGAAAATTTTTCACTACCGCCGGAAAAAAAACCTGCTAAAATTGCAAAATATTTCTCCCACGGGAGTATTGGTTGTTGTTGCGAATTTAATACCTCTGGCTGCTTCCGATACATATAGAGAGATCGTGAAAGTTCCCGAATAAACTTAATATCCCGTCATGAAACGTGACACTTTGATTCATTTTTCTTGTTAGGCAGAGTATGCCGATTGGAACGTTGTAACGCGGAGGTTATAACGTTTTTATCTCTGTCAGATAAATTAAAAGAAAATTGGGTAAATGAGAAATAAAAATAAATTGAATTTGAAATTCAAATATTAAATCACAGAGGCTCAATTCTTTATCACAGTCTGACTGTGTAGACCTCTGTATACTCCGTTTAATATAGGCTTAGTGCATTTCAGTTGATTTCAACTGAAAAAATTCCGACCGCAGCATTTCAACGGCAAAAATCAGAAATTATCCCTACCTAGTTCACACAGCCGTCATGTTGATCGCATAGAGTCAACAGCTATCACATTTTGCAACTTGCTTGAATTTTGTCATATTTTATGATAATTTTGATAAAATATCCAGGCAAAAACATTCCTTACCGAGATTTATAGATTTTAACGCGAACGAAAAAAAAATCAAACAACGAATACATACCATATTATATTTTTCTTTTATCTAAGATACATACCTTATCGTCTTTTGGAAACACGTACATTTTTGCACACAACAAGAAAACACCAGTTACCATTTTTACAGTTAATAAATAGTAAAACTATTTCTGACTATGATATTTAAAATTTAGATAGATAGAAAATTAAAAAACAAACGAGTATTTGCAAACGCAGGCCCAAATTCAATAAAAATCAAAATTTTTCCTGCGAAAATCAGGCTTTTTTCACTGAAAAGGTATTTTTTGATTTATCAGCAGTCGTCGTCAAGTTGACAATATACAGGGTGTTTTCGAATTAGTCTAAAAAAATTATGGTGTGATTCCTCATGTGTTCTTAAAACAATTTTTATATAACCATCCTTTCTGATCTACAGGGTGTTAAAAATTTAAAAAAATCGATTTTTTCGCTTAACATAAATGGTACACCACTGCTTTTTTAAAGAAAATGTATTTTTTTCTTGACTGGCCATCCTTTTTCAACAAAATTGATCTTTTGAGTTTTTCTTGTTCATCAAACGGTTGTCGAGAAAAAAATAAATATACTTATTAAGAGCCCGCCTTAATTCGTTTTCTAACCATTTTTTATTTTTTAGATTAATTAAGAAACACCCTGTATATGCATATCACAGGCAACCAAATAAACTAGTAACCTTTAAAAATTATTTTTCCTACCATTAGCGACATACCGTGTTTTTAGTGTGTACTAAATTATTTTATCAAAATTTCACCATATAAGTTTCCAGGCAATGGTTTCTGTTTAGTTTAAGATGTCAAATTTAAACGTCACTTTTCAAGAAATTAATAAAAAGAAAGGGGTCCTACGAAAATACTAAAAATATTAAATGTGTATAACTGCTTATAGAAGAAATACTATAGTAAGAAGAATTTCACTGATTTTTTTCCGTTTCACTGATTCCGTTGCCATGGTGACAGTCCTTTTTTATTGCAAAAGAACAGTGACTATATAGTTTGAAATGAATCAATCGTGGCAAAATAATATATTTTTTTAATGATATCTTTCTCAAAACAGAATATTTAACGAAAGGTTTTTACTTTGAGTCATTCTTAATCTAATTATTCAATTGAATGAACGTATCTAGTATGTTTCATCAAAGGTGCATCATACACCTTGCGATTGACTCTTTACTTAAAAATACCACTTGGAAATTATCTTTTAGTAAATTGACTTTAAACAAAGAATAGTTAACTGTACAGGGTGTCCCAAATTCGAGCCTCAGCATCGAGATTTGGGAAACTAGAAGGGATACGTGGTCGGTAAAATGGAGGCAAAGTTGAAGAATATATGCGATTTTATTTTTATGTTTGTGACTCTATTTGGAATAAATATAACGAAGTGAATTTCACATTTTTATTTAAAATATATGATATAATGTAGTTGTTTTTCCTTTAGTTGCAGGTGGCTATGGTGCGGGTGATGACAGAGGCTACTTTGGACCATGGAGAACGTGCAAGCTTTTGTTATACAACCGAGAAAGATGTGACGACGATGTTTCGAGGTTTAGACCGTCAGGTGAGCATATATTTCCATCAGTTTACTTTACTCGTATGTCGAATGACTTTATAAATGTGTAAAGAAGGCAGGGAGTTTACCGTTATACCGGGTGTTGCATCGTCGAGCGGAACATAGAAAATCCCATGTAAATTTTAATGGGGTCAATTATTGACTTCCCTAATTATTTTAGAGAATAATTCTATTTAGGTTTATTGAAGACCACTAAAACCCACATTCAAAAGAATAACTTTAGATATTTTTGATTAGCCCGTTTACGAGTTATCGCCGATTTCTTTTCAAATATTTCTCCTTTCTTATGGCCCTGTATTTACTTATGAGCACCAGTCAAGGTAAAAGATAACTGCCAAATGAAGTTGTGCACATAGTACCCTGGCTGATCGGGAATATTTAGACAATAGTTTTAACGGAAATGTTATTGGCCTAAATCATACAGTAAATTGGCCAGCAAGATCTCCTGATATTTCGCCAAATGATTTCTTTCTCTGGGGCCATTTAAAGAACAGGATATACAAGGAAAAAAATACCCAAATCTAGACGAGTTAAAAAATGCTATTTCTGCCGAATGCAATAGAATTTCAGTTTACCAACTAGCGAATGTAAAGGTGCGTATTCATTATCCGAACGAACGAACGAACGAACGAAAGTGCGGTATATTTAGACGGGGACCGAACGCATGCGGCCGTTCGTTCGTTCGTTCGCTCGACCATCCGTTTCGAGTCGGTACATCAAAGGCGTTCGCCAACAAATGCCTCCGGTCTTCTCGTGCGGTCCTATCGTGCGGTCCCCGTCCATACCACTAGCGAACATTCGTTCGTTCGTGCGGATAATGAATACGCACCTTAAGAAGAGAATTTTATGATCGCCTGGGTTATTGTCTAGCAGTCGATAGAGGAATATTTAAACATCTTCTTAAATCCTAAAGTTCTAACAATTTAATAGTACCTAAATTAATAAGTTATTGAATATTGTAATAATACTATAATTAACCTTGAAATTGATTACTTTATTTTACTTTAATTCATATTAATTTGTATTAATAAATACATCTTTAAGATTTCCGATGTAGGAATGAGTTTTCAATAATAATAAAGCACTAAATAGGTAAATTTCTGAAATGACAACTTCATTTGACAGTTATCTTTTACCTTGACTGGTGCTCATAAGTAAATACGGGGCCATAAAAAAGGAGAAATATTTAAAAAGAAATTTGGCGATAACTCGTAAACGAGCTAATTAAAAATATATAAAGTTATTCTTTTGGATGTGGGTTTTAGTGCTCTTCAATAAACCTAAATAGAGTTATTCTCTAAAATAATTAGGGAAGCCAATAATTGAATGTCCCGTCTGACGATGGAGTATTTTATATTTAAGTAAAACATACCGACCCGGTATGTTTTATAGGTGAAGTACTGAAAAGTACAATTTGCCAAGGACATTTATTATAATGGGAGGCTAGCCAAATTCGGTAATGTTGCTAAGGAGACTTGGGCATTTGTAAATTACTTAAGGAATAATACTTCTTCGTCTGGCACAGTCTTTAATTCCACCTGAAGATTTAAACACTTACTTTTTTATTGTGGCTAAAAATTTAGTGAACACCATAACTTCTTCCCATGATTCACTTTCATATCTCCCTAAAAAAATGAAATAAATAAGCAAATGAATGAATAAAGCAAATGAGAATTTACACAGTTTCTTCTTCACGCCCGTGGCATTAGATGAGCTCCGTAGTACAATTAAAAGTATTAAAAACAAATCCTCATCTGGGACTGATGGGCTTACTCTCAAAATGTTCTCTGAACTTCCGGAATGCACTTTAATCCATCTTACTACTTTAATTAACGAGTCATTCCAAAAAGGAGTTTTTCCAAACTGCCTTAAGACAGCAATAATTATTCCTCTGCATAAAGGAGGAGATAAAAATGAAGCTTCGAACTATCACCCTATTGCACTCCTGCCCACATTATCTAAGATCATTGAAAGATTGGTTCAAAAAGGGTTCTTTCTCTTCTCCTTAAATATAAAATACTTACTACCCATCAATTTGGATTTCTAATTAACAGTTGCACAAATAATGCTATGTTCGACCTTTTTAATAATGTATATACTCTAGCCTGTATAACCATCACTCTACAACTACAATTTTCTGTGATTTCTCTAAGACTTTCGACTGTGTAAATCATAATATCTTAATTCACAAATTGCAATATTATGGATTCAGGGGAGTGCCGCTCGAATGGCTTCAGTCATATATTGGCAACAGAAGGCAGCTTGTGAGGATTGTTACGTCTATATCTTCTTGTAAGCCTATAGAATGGGGTATCCCTCAGGGTTCAGTACTTGGCCCTATTTTGTTTCTGGTGTTTATCAACGATATTGCAAATCTGGACATTAGCGGTCAAATCTGCTTCCTTGCGGACGATACTAGTTTCACTTGGAGGGGGCCAGATGTTACGGCACTATATAATACCATTAAATCTTGGTGCGATTCTAATCTCCTATGCCTCAACCTATCAAAAACTAAAGTTTTGTCATATAAAAGTACTACACAACCTTTTGTATATCGCCAGTTTTACATAAAGCGTTAAATGCCCAAAGCTTATTCTGCTACATTTTCGCACTCTTTAAGAAATTCAAAAAAAAATTAAAAAAATCCGTGTTTTCTTCAAACAACATCCTTCTAACGACATTTTCCTTGCTTTTTAAGAAAATTTAACGAATTTGTCGGCTTGTAAAGCCATTAAGAAATAAAATAAGTCAGTTACCCGAACCAAACGACGCGAATTCGATTTAGCGGCAACGAGTGGATATTAGGTCAAAAATAATTTCCCTCGGGATTGATAGCAGGCGTGACAAGCAGGCCATGGACGGAGGAGTGGAAACATGCAGAGGAATCAGCATTTTTAATAGAGTAGGAATTGAGAAAATTACGATTAGAATTTTCAAGAATCTACTTATTGTTATTTTAACAGATTTACGTAAAATTGTTTTTAATAAATGTTTATGTACAGGGTGGGCCAAATTGGACGCTTTTAGAGGGAAACATCCTTTTCTATAGGAGTTAGACGAAAACTAATATTGGTGTCTGGAGCTCAATTTTTGTCAAAAACATGGTGGTGAAAACCGCATATCGATATTTGTTACCGTTTTCGAGTTTCTGGGTGTTTTTCAAAAATGTGCATTTTTAACAAATCGCTGTAACTTTTTTGCTACAGAAAATTTTGTATTCTTATGAAAACTTTTCCAAAATACCTTTTTACGTAGAATTTGATGGTTTATGTATAATTTTTTTAAAATTAATAATTTAAGAATTATCAAGAAAAAAATTGTTTTTTTAAATGGGACACCCTGTATATTTGTTGAAAATAATTTAAAATTACCTTTCCAAAAATATAGCACACTTGATATTTTGTTTGATTCCTCTTCGATATATATTCAAAGCCTACAAAGTAGGCTTTGAACCGAGACGGCTGTAATGCAAGAAAATTGTAGCTGTATATATTTTGTATGGCGTATTAAGAGTACACATGATATCAAGAAATCAAAAAAAAAAATCAATACAACAATACAAACAATTCAAAGATCAACAATCAGATGTGTAAGAGACATATCACAATGTTACAGTAAAAACGAACAACTATAAATTTACACTACAAGATTTAGCTCTGCGATCCATTCTATAGCATCCAGGTCAGCCTCATGAAGACGATTTAAAGAGAACTGCGCCTTTGTTAGTGGGCACTGTGTTGCGATATGAAAAGGTGTATCTTCAAAATGTCCGCAATCGCAGTTAGGGTTGTCGGTTAGTCCCCATTTGTGTGTCCAGAAGCGGGTTCTGCCATGGTTAGATCTGAACCGATTGAGTGTTGTCCACGTTTTTCTTGGCAAATTGAATCCGGGAGGGCAGAGTACTGGGTCAGTTATCAAGTGATGAATGTCAGGATTATTTTGTGACCATTCATCTCGCCAGCAGTCTTCAACCCGAAAGTTGGAATTTAGTAGCTGCTGCCCCAATACCCATGGCGGTTTTCTGGATTTCAGGCGATTCAAGAAATTTTCACAATCATCATGGATGGGCAGATGGACATTGCTGGTGCACTTTTTCCACTCTCTGACTAGAGCCGCCTGTCTTCTCAGATGAGGGGGAGTAATGTTTGATAAGACAGGGAGCCACTGGATCGGAGTGCTTCTGATAGTGCCCGTTATTATTCTCATCGCGCTGTTAAGACGAGTATCGATAAGATGAATATGATTGCTATTTATCCAGACAGGGCAGCAATATTCTGCCACCGAATATGTGTGGGCCATTGCAGTTGTTTTAAGTACCCTGGCGTTTGCTCCCCAGCTGCTACCTGCGATCTTGTGCAGTATATTATTTCTAGTATTTATTTTTGCAGCCGTCTTGGTGAGGTGTGGCTTGAACGTGAGAGACCGATCCAATGTGACTCCTAAGTAAAACCAAAATAATATTTGCAATGAGAGATTTGGAATTTTATAACAATTTAAACTATATTTAACAACATCAACACATTTAAAATACATCTAATAACAATAAAAATTAATAGCAAGCCAAGACATCAGATTTTGCTACAGGTGTTCGACATGTACGACCGCCTTCTGTTATGGACAGACGGGACCGTTTTGAACATTTCTCGCCGAATTCAATAACTTAATAGGGGTGAAAGATACCCTCGCGTAACCGCTTTTAATTATTGTCTATATTATATCGTACTCATATATATATGATATATATATACCTCGCGTAAGTGCTTTTAATTATTGTCTATATTATACAGGCAATTTAAAAATAAGAACCTTTATTCTTCGCAAAGATAAAAATCCATAGGCACTAAGTCTGGCGGAGCTAGGATCTTGGTTAGCTAATCAATTATTCTCTAAATTAGCTGCAAAAGTTAACTGACTTCAGCGTTCTGAGGAGGTGCCTCGTCTTGCTGGAAAAATATGTTTTCGGGTTCCATTAGGGGCAGATCATAAAT